CGATTTGTTTTCACCATTCAGTCATTTTGAGCTGCTGCTTCTGCTGGTGCTGCTGTCGATGACAGCCAATGACGAGCCTCCGCATGTACATACGCAATCGGTTTCCACTGTCTGGTGTCTGCCTACCCTTTCCCTGAGCCACAGTGTTGTTATGGCAACCAACTCCAGCTCCTGTTCTCGGCTGTCTTCCTGCCCCGTCCCGTCCCGTACCGTTCCGTTCTGTAGGGCCTTTGATGGTGTGTTCTGGGTAAAAACCAGCTGTAGTTCCTGCCTACCGCTGTCTGATGTCTGACTGCTCCCTTCACTGGGGCTTTGTGTGAGGCTGTTCTTGTGGCAACTACCTCCTGCTCCTACTCCTGCTCCTGCTGCCTGCTGCTTGCTGCCTGCCCTTCTTTGCTTTGTTCTTCCTGTTCTTTTGTTCTGGCGGGTTTCATCAACCGGTTGCGCGTCCGCTTGGGTCAACGTTTGCCAAGCAACTGAGAATGAACTGGGCTGGATGCTCTGCTTACGTTGCTTTATTTTCTCCCCTGGTCAGAATAATTTGCAAATTAATTTAGTAGCAAAAAAAATATGGCTGGCTCCACACGTCGTATACGCAATATGTCGCACAAATAGAATGCTGCGTTACGTATACGCCCCGCCCTGTCTGCGGAGGTAAAGCCCACAAGTTGTTAGCCCCATCGAACCTGTGGCACCCGCTTTCCCCCTTTCCATTTATCATTCTCTTTATTCATTATTCTTTACTCATTCTCTTCCCCTCTCCTACAATCGAACGACATTGGCAACGAACTTGGGGCGACTTGCACAAAATGGACATGAACGGGTGGCGGCAGGCTGCACACTGCAGACTGCAGGCTGCTGTGCAACGAAAATGAAAATGAAAATGAAAATTAAATCGAAGAATTAGAATATGTAACATCTATTCTTGGTCGTCATTCGCATACTCTTTGGTTGGAAAAAGTGCTGGAGGGGATTGGCGGATTGTGCATCCATACACAAGAAACTATACGTTATTCCCTCCCATTCGGAAATTCCATTTATAAATGGCGCTCACGTTTACTTTTTTCATTGGTAGGGGAAGTACCAGTAGAAGGGAAGATCTGCTGGTATAATTAATATAGTCATGGCATGTTTTAAGGGTAGGGAGTGGACCAACACTACAATATGTACATATATTTCCATAATTTACTTCAATCTTGGCCAAATTGGAAATAAATTATTATTCTTGTATTCTATCGGGTCAGACTGATGCAGAAATCTACGCCATTTCGGGTTAGGGTAAGCAAAAATGTGTTTTATAATGATTTTTCTGTTTACGATCGGCAGCGGTGTCGCTGCAGTTGGCCAGAAGCCAAGGCAAACGGAAGAGAGTGATTAAGAGAGAGAGAGAGAGAGAGAGAGTAAGCGAGAGTGTGGAATGCTTATCAGAGTGGAGCCACTTCTGCTTTGCTCTACTCTACTCACATTGTGCTCTCCCCTGAGGGTGCATAAATTATGCGCAACTTGAGATATCGGTGGCTCTGCAAGTATTCTGGTATTCCGATTCAGCAATAGCAATAGGGAGGTGTTCACGCCGCTGCCACGCGGCCTGCCTGCCAGCCTGCCCTGCTGTGGCTTTAAGTGTACGAGCGGATGGGATTGCCAATTGTGTTGGTTTAATGAATAAAATACGAGCCACATTTATTGTGGCTCTTGGCGCCACAGCAACTTAATCGCGGCAATGATAATAATAATCATAATGAGGCAGGTAGAACATTGCTTTAAACCAAATATTTACTCTCTGATTGTGCCAGCCAATTTGGCGAAAATAAAATATTTATCGCCCAATATTTGAGCAGCGCTACCAATTTGAAATTGTCAGGCATGAAATTAGGCAAGGCAACAACAAGTAACCCCCCTGAACAAAATGGGATTGCCGAACCAGAAACTGAAGCCGAGTGAAACGATAAGTTATTTATGGCCAGCGACAAGGGTTCCAGAAAGTAATTTAATTTTGTTTTCATGTTTTGTGTGTTCGCTCGAGCTGAGTTATGGGAAGATTCAGGTTTCCCCCAACGTCTCTGACGACAAATACTACTACCCTTGCTCTCTCCCTATACCTACCCATCAATCATCTTGGAACTGCACTGTCAGCTAACTATTTTAAATACAATACGCAAACGAGGAATAATAGATACCCTGGCAGATCAGTGATTATAAAGGAAGCCATATTGTATAGACGACTGATTTCAATAGGTATTATTTAAGTGAAATAATTTTACTGTTTGTTGTTAGAACCAAAATATAGTAAACTGTGTGTTAAAAATTGTATTGGGACTAAAAGATAGTCGTGCGAATAGTTTGCATTGATCGTACAACCCTCTGCGAGGGTATAAAGCCGAAATTTCAGCAAACTCTCACGCGTTAATGGCCCTCCCCGACAGCTGATAAAAAGCAAAACGTGAGACTGTCTACCCCAAAAAACAAAAAAACCCATAACTGGTTATCTCAAGTGCCTGGGGCTGCGTCAGATCGGCTGAGAAGCGGAGATGAACGCCTGGCAACAAGACAGCCTTTTGTCAGTTAATTGTGGCCCACGTTACGTTTGAAATAAACACAATAAAAAATTTTTGATTCAAAACAGAGTTAAATGTTTTCAAAAAGATTATTTTGGTATTCTCATCTTACGCCTCAGCTTTTTTTTCTCCATACACTATAAACTATGATCTGGTCGGCCCTTAAAGGGGGAGCAAAAATAAATATTTAAGGCAAATGCTTTAAACTTATTTTATCATTAGATCAACCATATTAATAATAGTGTAAATGAACTGGAATGTAATCTAAGAACATCTAATGTTTGAAAAAAAAACATCAATGTCTGCAGTGTACACCTAAACTAGCTCTAGTGTGGAACGAAAAAGTGAGTCATATTTTTGAATGGTCTATACCAAGGGGTACGGACAACGAGCAAAAACAGGAAAGCCAATTGCAAGATTCGTACGAGCCTCACCTCGCCTATATTAGGCGTATGTATATTAGGTATATAAGGATTGAGCAACATTTTGAATACCCTGGAGAAATGGATGTTCTAGAATTGAGTAAATGTTTGTCATCCAATGGACCAATAAAGCCCAAAACTACTCAGTCTCTGTTTTAAAGGTTTTTTAACGATATTTGGAAGGTAGTGGTTTTACAGAAACTAAGAACGGGTATCAGAATGGAGATATATTGACAAGGCCCTAACCATATGCATGAATATGTCTATAACATATCAATTTGAGATAATTTCTTTATTAATTACGTTTTAAAACAGTTTGTTCATATTATATTCACGAAATAGGGTATACTTGTGCTGAAACTCCGGCTGAAGTGACATTTCATACTCACTTACGTTGCCACTGTTTTTTGTTGTCCTTTTTTTGTTTATACTAAATGGGAGAAAATGTATTCATCAATGGCCTAAAATTACGTGGGCAAAGCTTAAGGTTTTAGTTAGCCAGAAATATTTCTAAATCTCTAAATTGAGCAATATGAACGACTATCCTCTTTCGTTTTTTTTTTGTTTTAACCTATATCGCTAAAACCTCTTTTTACGCAAAATGCAATAAAAGCAAGTATATAGAATAAACCAGTTAAAAAGAAAAATAATTCATAAATCGTATAAAGTTATGTGGGCATAGATAAAGGCCCGGTTGACAACATTTAAATCCTTGTCGCTCACATTCAAAAAAGTTCGATTTGGCGCGCACCACTCGGTATATTTTTCAAATGAGACCGTATATTTCGGTGCTGTTCCGAGGGTCATACTGTAGAAATACTGGTTTTCGCCGCGCTCCCGTGGTATTTTTGTCAATTTCATCAATCTATTAATTTAATTTTCAATGTTATATAGAAATCCAATAAATGCAAGTATTTCGAATAGGCCAATCATGTAAAGAATTGATTCATCAATCGTTTAAAATTGAGTGGGCATGGCTAAATGTTTCATATAGATAGTATTATTCAACGGAACAAAGAATATGAGAAATTGGTCGTTTTTTTTAATTCGCCGCAGTTCGCCGCATTTCGCCCCAATTCGCTTTAGCAACAATGAGTCTCATTCCATACACAAATGTTGCGCATTCCATACACAAAAGTTGCGGCAACATTTACTTGAAAACCGTTTTTTGGTCAAAATAAAATACATAAAGGTAATTAAAAGAGGCAATCTTGTAGAAAATGCATTTATCTATGCGATAAAGCCCAGTGGGCAAATCTATATAGCTTTAAATATAGGCAATACCCGATTCGCCGCAGTTTCGCTATTGCAACAATGAGTCCCATTCCATACACAAATGTTGCTAACTCCATGCACAAATGTTGCTAACTCCATGCACACATACCCTGGGGCAAATGGATGTTATAGAATTGTGAATATGTTTGTCATCGCAAAAACAATTTATTTCTAAAATATTTTAATATTATTCAATATTATTTATTATATTATTTTTAATATTTCAACGATATTTTGAAGCTTATTGTCTTCTTGTAGGGACCAAGAATAGGTATCAGGATCGAGATATATATACAAAACACTCATCATATACATGAATATGTCTAAAAAATGTCAATTTGATTGACATTACGTTTGATCTACATATAAAATTACCGAAATAGGGTGCACAAAGGCCTATACACGCATCATGTCTTCAAATACCAGCAAATTGCGACTGATTTTTTGTTGAACTATTTTGTTCAAACCTTGTTTTAGCCAAAATACAATAAAAGCAAGGACTAAAAACTAACCAATTGTGTAGAAAATTTATTCATCTTTGTTCTAAAATTATGTGGGCACTGCTAAATATTCTATTTAGCTGGTAATATTCGACGGAATATCAAAAACGAGGAATATGCATAACAGAACTTGACTTCGTCAGTATTTTAACGGTATATTTTCTAAATGAGACGGTATCTTTCGGTATATTTCAGGGGGTCTCAATCCGCGGTCTCACTGGCCCATGCCCCCTTTTTCCTCCCTTCGAGTGTCAAAAAAGTTTTTTTTGTTTAATTTTGGATCTGCAAAATGGTGTTCTACTTTAAAAGCAACATTATCCAGCCGCCGGCCATTTTGTACATGGGCCGCGACAAGCACGAAAACGAGGAACTCATCCGCTGGGGCTGGCCGGAAGATGTCTGGTTCCATGTAAACAATCTCTCGTCGGCTCACGTTTACCTGCGTCTGAAGCCGGGTCAGACCATTGATGACATACCCAGCGATGTGTTGGTGGACGCGGCCCAGCTGTGCAAGGCCAACAGCATCCAGGGCAACAAGGTGAACAATCTGGAGGTTGTCTACACCATGTGGGAGAACCTGAAGAAGACCCCCGACATGGAGCCGGGACAAGTGGCCTATGTCAATGAGGGGGCTGTTCGCAAGATTCGCCTAGAGAAGCGGGTCAATGAGATTGTGAATCGCCTTAACCGTACCAAGACGGAGGAGGAGCATCCCGACTTTCGTGGCCAGCGCGAGGCGCGTGATGTGGCTGCACGCAACGACCAGAAGAAGATGCTTCGCGCTAAGCGCGAACAGGAGAAGGAAGCGGCCAAGCAGCGTGAACTGGAGGCAGAGCTTCGCAGCTATGCCTCGCTCCAGAAGTCCGAAAATATGCGCACAAACTACGATGCAGGCAACGAGTCGGACGACTTTATGTAGTATCAAGTGCATTTACCTCTACGCTATGATTATCATTATATGATATTCATAATACATTTTTTTGTTAATAAATTATATAATATAAAAACCTTTATAAATAGCTGAATTGCATTCAATTCCATGAATTATCATTTAAAGTAAAAAAACCCGGGAGAACAGCTGAAACGCTAGTTTTTTCGCCTGTTTGGCAGCTCTAGGCTCTTGTTACATATGATTTTCTGCTTGTCTGGCAGCACATCTGGTTGATCTGGCACCGCTATGCAAAATTTAAAATTAATGCTAGAGTTTATTAACTTATCCGGCTTATTAACCGGAATCCTTTGAAAAGGATTTTCCTTTACCAAGCTGGCAAGTGCTCCCCGGCTTATGGGGGGTGGAAAATGCAAAATGCAACAATCTTAATGAATACTTTCAGTTGGACTGTCTTTGACAGTTGGTTGAATATTTGAACAATCATTTAAAAAGGAGGCATGACTATGACCCCCGAAAATTCGAGTTATTTTGTGATTAGAGTCTTGAATAAAAAAAAATCCTTAGCATTTGATATCAAAGTTCCGAAAACGGTCTTCTCTTTAATGCTGTACCTCGGCATACAGACGTTCAATCCGGATCTCTGGATCCTCGCTGGGCAGACGCATCTCTCTGAAATAAAAGGCATTGCTTCTTTGCGAAAAAAAGCTACCCCTGGCCTCGGAATCGAACTATTCCAGGCCATGCTAAAAGTCGAACTTCTTAACACGCAAAGATCCGTCAGAGATCAGTGCCAGCCAGCACCCTGCACGTTTGCATGCGGCATGCGGCGGATATTGTGGATCTTCTGCATGTCAACCACATTTTCCATGATGTCCATGATGCGCCCAAAGCAAAGAGGTAGTGCGCACGCTGATTCTAACTGTCAACGTCTCGGCCGACATTCGGGATTTATAGCCAGGTATGAACGGCATTCCACACCTCCAAGAGAGCCTATGCACTCTTTAAATTAGATGAGATTTAATAAAAAAAAGGGTTTATTTTGCAATAATGAATAAAACCAGTTAGGTGCAGTTACTACTACAGACATGGGTAGACTTGGGTAGACATGGGTAGGGGTAAAGAGTATCCGTAAGTACATACAAGGATTAGGTTTACTCGATATGCTCTAGGCCTAGATTAGTTAGGTTGGTATGGTTTATTCGACTAATTGTAGAAACACTTAACTAAATTCGGGGAGGAGCTATCGGGGGATATACTCGTACACACAATATATCCTTAACGCTAGTGAGCTACTTAGCTCCTATGTATTCAACTAAAATATAGACAAAAAATGGACACAAATTACATGATAGGTATTTGCATTGGTACACTCAAGACTAGACTATACAAATGGGAGGGGGCGGGGGGCGCTTATGACGGGAAGTCCTTAGGTGGTTACTTGTGAGTGTTTTTGTGTGCTGAATGTGTGACTAGTATTCGTTGAGACTTGGCTTATGAGTAGGATCTGCTACAGTTACGATTGTTGTGTGGCATGGAGCGAGCACTGGGTTGGGGACCCATCTCAATTGCTTGGCTGAGCTGGAGCCGGAGCTGAAGCGACGGGAACGGAAACGGGAGTGGGAATGGAAACGGACACTGGAACCGAACCCGAACCCAAAGCCGAACCCGATTCCGACTGTTGTCTACGCGGTCAAGCGACAATATCGCTACCGGGATTGTAGCCAAAGTAGTTGAGATTGAACTCATCGCTGAAAAGCACCTCCTCCTCGGAGGGTTCCACCTGGTGCGACATCTGTATGCCCAGCTCCATGGGATCGATCTCGGTGATATAGTACTGCGAGTGCGAGTGGGTCAGGCTGTTGATATTGCCGCTGTTCATGTGTATCCCGCTGCCCACGCCATGCTGCTGCTGCCTCAGACCGCTCTCCGTGACAACGACGTCCTTGTGTATGGGATTGAGATAGTCTTCTGGTTGGGATCAAACAGGAGCAGGAACAGGAAGAGAAGGAGAAGCAAACCATGTTAGGTTCCGCATTGCTGGCCAACCTGTCAAGTTACACTCACCATTGTCCAGCAGCACGTCGTGATAGGTGCTGATAATGGAGTTCACCGACTGCACCTCCACCTCGCGATGGATGCCGTTTAAAATCTGGCCGGCCGTCTTGCGCAGCTCGTCGTCGCTCAGCAGATCATTGAAGGGCAGCAGTCTCTGGTGATGATGGTGATGATGATTGGAGTGGTGGTGCGACTGTCCTGCCGTTGACTCATTCGCCGTACTTGAGGAGTGTTGCAGCATCTCCTGCGTGAGTGTGGCAGCTGCCACAGCGGCCTCATCGTACAGGCAGCCATTGCTCGTTTGATGTAGTCCCTGCCCCTGCCCCTGTCCCTGTTGCGGCGAGTGGCTATTCTGTTGCTGGTGCTGCTGTTGCTGTTGCTGCTGTTGCTGTTGTTGCTGTTGCTGTTGTTGTTGCTGCTGCTGTTGCTGGATTTGCTGCTGATGCTGTTGAATGCGTTCCCGGTTGATGGACTCCATTTTGAAGAACAAATCCAGTCGTTGCTTCTTCTACAAAAAACGAAAGAATTAGAGCTACCTCGACTTGGGGTGCAAGACTCCACTTACGTGCTCCCAAGCCAAGACGTTCTCGGCCGAATCTCCGCTGGAGATGGCCCACAAGTGGCCAGCGCCCTGGGGCGCCTTTACTCCCTTGCGGAAGTGCGGATTGATGGATAGATTGTGTCGCACCGAGTTCTTCCAGCGGTCATCGTTCGATTTGTAATACGGAAAGCGATCGCTGTGGAATGATCAAGGGAAGGGAAGGAAGATGAAATACTATATGGTATATACATATATATATTTATAGTGCGAAGACTGGGCTGAGGCAAAGGAACGTTGCTGCATTCCCGAATCTTTTGATAATCCTTTAGACTAGTTCGATTCGATTTTCATGAACTTTTGATGGGTACGAGTAGTTACACAGTTCTGCCTTGATATCTGCATATGAGAGCAGGTATCTCAGGATTGGTTAGCAATTTCCAACCCCATCAGGTGGTCAGACGGCCCAAAACTTTGTTGACCAATTGCAATTAAATTGTTCAGCAGCAGGAGGTGGCGCCCAGCCAATCCGGGTCGGAAGGCGGGCATGGGAAAGCCAATTTACACGGAACACGTCATCGCACAGCACAGCACTGCGGCAGACGCGCACACAGACCCACAGACGTACAGCTGAATAGGAATACGGACACGGACACGGACACGGACATGGACATGGACACGGGCACTGACAGGGACATGGACATGGACAGGGACAGCGCCACTGGCACTGGCACAAATTATGCGTCGTTTTTATTCACCTCTCTTTTATTCTTTCTCCCGTTTCCCAGTCACGAACAGGCAGGCCATTGGGAGCAGTACGTACGTACACACATACGTATAGTGTAAGTGTATGGCTATGGCAGTGGCAGTGGCAGGTGGAAGTGGAACCACCACCATTGATAGACCCGCCATCAGTCCAACCCAACCCCCTGCCCCCAGCTCCGGCCAGGCCATTTTGCCCAGATGTAAAAAGGAAACAACGACGACCGGAAAGGACATCGCGTGCCATGCCGGGCGGGCTCCCATTCCCACTCTCCACTGGGATGGGATGGGGGTTTTTAGAGTATGGGTGTACGACCGTTGGGTGGTGGATCGGGTCGGGCTGGGTCGGGGCAACAAAATGGAAAGTATTTCAAATTACGGCACAGCCATAGCTCGGAGCGGGGGATGGAAGACACGCGCCGCTTAAGGAGAAGGAGAAACCAACCCCCGCAGAAGGGATCTATGTGCTATGTCATTGGTTAACTGCCAATGCCCGTGCCCGTGCCAGTGCCCGTGCCTCTGTCCCTGCCCCTGTCCCCATCCATTCTACGCCCACGTAGAGTTGAAAAGCAATCCAAAAAATTTCAGCACGCGAGCCCCAAAGGAGGAGGCCAACAACTTACTACCACCACTCCACACCAGGGCGGGGGTATTGGGCTGCAGTCGAGTCCCCCTATTACGGCTCCTTCTATTTCTTGGTTTTTCGCTTTTCTTCCGTGTATTTTCCGTATTTTCCGTATTTTCCGTATTTTCCTAGTGTTTTTTGTTTTTTTGTTTTTGTTTTGGGCACGGGAAAATGACGACTCATAAATGAAGTGAAATGAATTATAGAGAAATTCATGGCGGACTGACGCTCCGTCTTGTTTGGCTGACTCTTTGGGGGAGGGTGGGGGCTGGAGTCCTTAATGACCCCTCGGTTATGTCCTGATAACTCCCCATACACGTATGTGCACAGATATCATACTAAATGACGTAGATATCTTCTTCTTTTTTTTATATTGTAGCGATCTGGCACGCAGTCCCGTCATGACGCATCAAACAGCGAAGTCAAATGATGTGGCACTTGAAATTGCTCCGGGAACGGTGGGATCGGAGGAGCCTTGGCTATCCGTATACCCCTTTCTCTGAAGCCGAAGGGTAGGCGAATGAAATTAGCTCCATCCCAACCAGAACTTGAATGGCTTCGCTTGGATTGCAATGGTTAGGGCCTGGGCTGGTATTAGCGATGATGGAAAACCATCCTGTCCTAATGGATTCCTTCTTATGCTGTATATTCAATCATCACATCATAAATCTTTTGTTTTTCGAACATTTTGGCCTTCATTGTGGTCCAATTTGGTCACCTAAAGATCCAATTTGGCGAAACTCAATGTATTCGAGTCTTGAATTCCTGATCAATATTTAATGTACTATTTTTGAATATACCTACTATATATTTTAAAAACACAATTGTATTCCTAAAGGATCCTGAAAATCATACGATTTTCCTGTTACTCCTCTTTTCGTTCCACAATAAATTTCCTTAATAGGAAAGTCTTATAATTTTCAGGATCCTTTAGGACGCGTATCTGACTAGTGCATTAATTTTAATCTGTTCGCTTAAATACAAAAATCACCATGAGTTTAAACTTTTTGTTGATGGCCAATTTGTGTATCAAAGATTTGTGGATTCGCCGCGTAATCACTGCCCTGCCCAGAAACTAAAGCTGAAAGTCATGGCATTTATCCATCGTATGTAATCTGCAGAGTTCATAGTTCACACTTGGACCTTCCTTAGAGTGCACCTTCCAAGCTCCTTTCCATCAGAAAAAAGTTGTTGAAGCCTGAAGTTATTGGCGAAATAAACTGTCACCATTATTGGCCATGCCTGGTCGAAGGCACTTGTAAATTTGAAATCATTGAGTCAGGCATTGATGTTGGTATAGTTTATGGTATCTGCATGTCTGTTTGGGCTTAATCATGGACTCAGTCAATCGATGGGCCTACACAAGAGCAGACATATACATGAGTATTATGCATATTTCTGCCCATCCGCCCATCCACCCACCCATCCATCCCACCATCCCTGTATCTTGATGTGTATACAAATATGTAGCTATGAAAGAGGGTACACTCGTATCATGTTGGCACAGCCCGTCGCACTTGTCGAATTGTCAACGTGGCCTCAAGCACGTAGTACTAGCTCTCCCAATCGAGTACGGAAAAGGGGAAATCGGGGAAGAGTGAATACTTATACGAGTATGTATATATTCTTGGGTGGTCGGATGGTTTCATAGATTTGAGTGGGTTCGTTAAGTTGGTAAAAATCAAATACCCGCTATCAGCCACAGTCATCGTTGTCAATGAATATGACTGACTAACTCCGCGCTCTGGCTTTACCGGGGGGCTGGGTAAAGGTTTTTGGTATGAAATTGTCGGAATACACGGCATGCCACACACCCACACCCATTGATTATCATATACATATATATATATATATATATGGCTATACCTACTGAATATATGTGTGTTTATATTTTGAGTTTCAGTTTCGGTTTAAAAACAAAAATATTGCAAGCTTCTTTGATAGGGGACGGAACTCAACATATTCCATCCGTGGGCTGCTCTAGTTCCTCCTGTCCAGGCCTGGTCGGGCACTGAAATGTAATTGACTGGAATGAACCTCGCCCTGGTCCTTGTCCCTGCCACTGCTATCCAGCCAGCAATCCCACCATCCCCTTCCCATCCATTGCATTGCAGGCACTCTGATGAGGTCTGATAGGCTGGTCGCTCGGACTAAATGGTTGGTTCGCTCGTGTCTGGGCGTGCCTGGCACGCAAACCACCTCTCTTTCTCTCTATCTTGCATACACATACATATACCTATGCATACCTATATATTTAGTATACTATATATATATATATTCAAAGAGAGAGCTTCATTTTTTTTTTGACATGGCAGCAAGGACCGAGGTCCCAACAGAACCCATCAGACTGGGCAACTACTCTTGGCTCTGCCTCTGGCCCCATATACTACTCGTATTTTCTCGAAATATATATACATATTTCGTGTACGAGTATATCTGAATAGGTATAGGTATTGGTATAGGTATAGCCAGAGTGTATGTACATCCATATATTTATGGCACTACGTTAGTCAGTTCATAAATTGTTGCGGCTCGTTGGCGTCCACCTCTTTGGGCCCTTCTCCTAGCCACTAAAATACATTTCGTGGATTTATGGCCAAAACCAAAACCAGAGCTGGGGCTGGGCCTGAAGCTCAAGACTGAGACTGTGACGGAGACCGACCCGAAAGCACAAGTTGCCTCATTTTGGTTGAGCAAAATGAAAAAGTTTTTAATGGCAATTGTTGATTCTTTTTTCTACGAACGGGTGGGCGTAACTGCGGCCTAGCCACGCCCACCCCCGGAAAAATATAGAAAATCCCAAGGCAAAAGTAATCACATGACCAATGACGACTCCATCTTAGATCTCGGGCTGGCACAAAAAGTATTCTCCTTGGACCTGCCCCAAGGTGAATCAATCCTGGAGAGCTATTAGCGAAATGGATGCCTAAATAGTCCCATCAGCATCTGTCTCCGATTTGGTATGAAATCTATCATTTGAATCAAATTTAAAATACTATGATATTACGTCATTTGGCCATAAATGGCTGTGTGTGTGTGTTGGAAAACGTCACTTTGTCACCAATGGTGCCTCAGTTCTTCAGCTACAAACACTAACTAAGCGTTCTGTCTCTCTTGGGTTTTCCCACTTCGCAGAAAAGTTAGCTAGGTCTAATGTCATAGCACCATTACGGCCTAAAGACTCCCATTTTGTGAAGGATTTCCGCATATTTCTGATAGTTCCAATAGCAATAAGAAGAAGCAGCTGCTCTAAACAGTAATACATGTTATACAAAATAAAAAGGAAAGATGTATGTACATATAATCCCTTAAGCTTTAAACCTATCGTATCATTAGATATGCAATTTTTGTGTACACCTGTGGATCAATAGAGACGCTGCTGTGTCTATGGGAGAAAAACATTGTTGGTTCACCACATTATAAAGAAATTACTGAAAATAATTAATAAATAAAAGCATCAAGCCTTGCTCGTCCATTCTCCTGTAATTTCTCATAATTTGGTGGTCTTCCTTGTCATAGAATACTTAAATCAAACATCGTACATTGCAGAAGCTCTGTCTGCGTGGATTTCGATATCGATAACTTGAGAGCTTCAAGTAGATCCTTCAATCAAAGATGTATATTATTTACCATTATTTACTAAAAATCAAGGGGAAACCCAATACGTATTTAGCTGAGAAAATACCTACAACTGTCAGGCAAAATTTGTAATTTTTTCTCTAGAATCAAGCACAATCGGATGGCATGAAGGGTAACTATTAAAATACTTTCTTTAGAGTTCTTTGAAGCACAAAATTTTCATTATTCTCCATCGATTCTGAGAGCTGAACCATAATACAGAATTAAAGATAATTTTGATCATGTTTCGGTTCATCCAAGTCTAGGCGCTCCTTCAGAATAATATGGGTATTGAGAAGGGGTGTTAGGGTAAAGTAAAGGCCGGGTGTTGAAATGATATTTATGCTAATCTTGCCACCACATCTGCTAGATGGTCGCACTTATACCCATATACTCGTAGTTTTCAGTAACCTCTATCGTTTCCAAGTTAGGAGCAATTGCGGTTACCAGAAACGAGGAGGAGGGAGGGTTGAATGTGGCACATGTCCTGGTCGATCATGCATGATCCGCATCCCATAAACACTCAATATGCACATTTCCAATTGACCGGAAGAGCGGAAGCAGCCGTATGCCACTACCCACTACCCACCACTGCCACTCCACTCGCTCTCTCTCTTAACCCACTTAACCCCTTAACCCTCTGCCACTAGCACTGCCCCAGGCACTGGCAGGTAATTGCTCTCAACTCTAGGCACAGCCGTGGGCATGGGCATGTCAAACACCTGATCCCCGGGATGCATTGATGCATGTAAAAGGTGTAGTAAAGCCGGAAGGGAACCGAAACCGACCCCGACTCCGGCCCCGACCCCGGTCTCCTGGTTCCGATGGTCCAACCCCCGCAATTAATAATTATTGTGAGCAATGTGCAGCGTAGAAATTTCATGGGCAATTGCCAGGACAGGCAAAACGATTAAGGGAATGGGTAGCGGGGGCGAACAAAGTTGGGTAAATTGCTATTGCTATAGGGCTATATATGTACGTGTATATATTGGGCATTGGGGATCGGGGACTGCGCGGGGCCATTGCGCAGGCGTCGTCAATTGCCTTGAATGCGACGAGGACGTGGCCATGGGGTGGCAGGGGCAGTGGCACCCCTTCTGGGAGCCGCAAAGCAAATTTGTGAATGGTTAATGAAAAGTTCCCCAAAAGCGGAACTCAGCCAAAAGCCGAGTCGAAACTTCTGCCAAGGAATCGGGGAGTCCAGGACTGTCGGCTCATTACATTTAATGAACCTCTGCCCGAAAGGGTACAGGGTCGGTGGTGGGGTGCTTGGGTGGATGGTGCAGGTGATGGGCAAATGTCATAAATTATTTGCTTCCTCCCCATTGTAAGGGGATGGTTTCGTATGTAAATTTGTATAGGATATTTACACGCAACATTTTGGGCTGCGGCTTCAAATATTTACACTGATTCAGGCCCCCACCCGCACAGGTGCAGAGAGGCAGGAGGCAGGAGGCAGGAGCCGGAACCCCGAATTAATGAACCTTGAAAAATGTGTTAAAAGTTTTTGTGTTTTTTTCCCTTTATGATCTAAACCGAATGTATACTCATTATTTGCCCTGAGGGCCGGGGATCCACCGAAAGTAGGTAATAGGTTATCAGGGGTGGAATATCAAACATCTACATATAGCTTTGAGAATTGATAGAATATGTCCGAAGACGTAGAAAGATACTTCGGTGCAGCCACTGTGCACTCAATCCACACTTTCAGCTTATAAACAGAACAAACAGGAAGATCGCAAAGAACTGATGAAGGAAGTATTCCTGGAAGAATTCAAAAGAATCATGGGTACTATTTATGAATGTTTAATTTAATAGTTTCTCTCTTTGTTGAGATGAGATCTCTGAGTTCTCTTGAATTTGGATTCCTATCATCCATGTTTTGACCACAGAAAATAGATACAGAAAAGAAAAGATATGATAAAAAGAATCAATTGTCTTGTTGTCTGTTGACAGTGGACTCATCTGATAGATTGGAAAGTTCTGTTGTGCCAATTGGTTCCACTTCCTATTCCACAAAAGACAGAGTTCTGTGGGGATCTTTGGAAGCTCCCAGCTCGATATCCATCTGAGCAACCATCAAAGGAATGTCCTGACATTTTCGACCAGAAGAGACCCCTGAATCGAATTCATGTCTGAACCCAAACATATCAGATGGACCCCTAACATATCTGATAAATACAAGGCTCCGCTTCGCTCCGTTGCGCTTCGGTTCCAACAACTTGTTGAACAAACCACAAAACGGTTTGGGGACCGCGAGTCCTAGTGAGGAAAATGCAATTTCCCTGCCTATAAATCGTTGGAGGCAAAAACTTTTGGCACTTGCATTGTTTGGAGTTCCTTCGCTCCTTGCTGTTTGTGGGGCGAGCAACACCTTGAAGAAGGAACCAATCAAATGGCCAGCGGGAATGCCCAGGAGAAATTCTTGAGATTTGTTTAATTGCATCCGGCTGGCGTTAAAAAACTACTACAGCCAAAGCCAGAACAATAGTCCGTAGCCCGTAGCTCGAAGCCCGAGAAACATCCAACAAAATGGCGTCCATCAAGTTGGCTGGGGTTGAATATGGGTGTGGGGGTGGACGAGTGGGTGGCTAGGGGGTGGTTTGGTTTGATTTAGAGTTGGAGTTGGAGTACTTACGATATCCATTGGTATATGCCCGACACAGTCAGTTCACCCTTGTCCTCGAGGGCGTATTCGATGAGTTCCGTGTAGGTGAACGGTGGTTTCTTTGGCCTGCTTGTTTTGCGGTGGTTGGTTTCGGGTTTCGGGTTTCACGTTTCGGGTAGATGGTTGGATGGGTGGGTGGGTGTTTCAGTCGTTCGTTGATTCGTTTTGGGGGTGTGGGTTTTCATTCGGTGGTCGGCATCGATTGGCGGCACCAGAATGGAAATGGAGAAAATTCATATCAAGAAAAGATGTTAAAAAAATATTTACAAAATTGCTGCAGAAAGGCGAGAATCTGTTGGGAGATCAGAGATAGAGCTGGTAGCGTTTTAAAGACTCCATATTGAAGCAATAGAGTCGTCTCTGTGAGGGCACCATAAATGGAGGACCACCGTGAGTTTTGTAGAAAGGGTCTGGACCCTTTTGCAGATCGATTTTTCATACGGAATCTACTATGAAGCCTGGGCTAGCAACAAATAAAACTACAGCTCTTTGAACTTGGAGGGAAGGAACAGAAAGGTTGTTCTCACAAAGATACAGCTATTTGATATAGTCATTCGTTCTTGAATCGTAACAGGGTGTCAATATGGCTATGGCAGTGGTCTTCCTAAGCCAGCCCATAACATTTTGTAGGCTATTCAGATGGTGCCATACTCACGCCTTGGAGGTTGTATCCTCGACCACAACATGCTCGGCCACTATCATATCGTTGCCATCCAGCTCCGAGGTGACTTCCATCACCAGCTCCTCGAACTTGCGCCCGGTCTTGGTGGAGCTGCTAATGTTTCCTGATACAGTACTGCCGCCGGCACCTCCTCCACTTCCTCCTGATCCTCCTCCGACTGTTGATGCACTGATCGAGGCGCTGGTGCAGCTCTTGGGGGACCGGGCCCGCTGGTCCATCAGGGCGCCATGGCTCTGGCTGGAGTTGAGAGAGTGATTCGAGTTCGTGGTGCATGTGGATGCGGACGCGGACGGGGACGAGGTAGAGCTGCAGGGCGATGTGCTGACAGCGGTTGTGGGCGTGCCGGCTTCGGCTTGACCCACCGGCTGGCCATGGCCCTGCCCTTGGCCATGGGGCGAAAGATGGGGGAACTCGTCGAATTTGAAGTTGAGCAGCCACGACAGGTTCTTGTCCTCAAAGTCCGCCTCCGAACCATCGCTAGTCGTCGTAGTCGTGGGCGTGCCTGTGGAGCCCGACGAAGTGCGCCTGCCGGTGGGCATAGTCCGACATCCCGCCTGCTTCAGAGGGACCATGAAGCTCTGATTTTGCACCACCTGCGCCGACGACTGGTGCTGCTGCTGGGACTGCTGCTGCTGCTGCTGTTGCTGCTGGGGCTGCTGGGGCTGCTGCTGAGGCTGGGACTGGGACTGGGGCTGGGAGCTATTGCTGCACTGCGACACAGGGGGCGGCAGCGTAGCGCTCAGCTGGCCAATCTCCGCCTGCAGACCGGAGTTGTAGCGATGATCGAGCTCGAGCAGCTCGCCCGTCTGCCAGCCGCCGCCGGGTCCATCCTCTAGGGGGGCGCTCAATGTGGGCGTGGGCAGCGCGCTGGTAGGGCCGCAGAACGCGCCGGACGGCACTAGGAGACTGCTGTCGTAGGCGAACAGATCGTTAATGAAAGCGGCCGAGGACTCAGGGGGCCCAGTGGCAGGTATAGTCGCAACGGCAGCAGGAGCGGAGCCGCCACTGGCCGTGCTGCTGGCTACTGGCGATTCCAGCTGGAGGTGAAAGTGCAGGTCGCCGGCATCGTACTCAAGGTGACGTTTCTTCCAGGGGTTCCCCTCAAGTTGGTCGTAGTCCGGGCCCAGGGCTAGGTCCTGTCCATCCACCTGCGACTCGTACTTGCGCTTCAAAAAGTTGTATTCGCAGTCTCCTACCAGGGTTCCGCTGTTCGAGTTGTTGCCGTCACTAGTGGTGTTATTGTTGGTGGTGTTGCTGTTGTTGTTGTTGTTGTTGTTCGAAGCGGGACTGAGATGGACACCGGGAGCACTCACACTGCCCGTGCCATTGACGGGCATATTGACAATCATGGCTCTCAACAATCGCCCAGGCCTGGCTCTCGTGCAGTTCACGCGACACCCAAAACACACACGGAGGCACAGGAAAAAAAAACGTAACCAGCAGTCAAAAACGAAAAAAAAAAAAAAGACAATAAACAAAAGGATGCACAGGACGAGCACTAGCCGCCAGGAGCTGGGCTTGAACTGGATGGCACTGTCAACGGGGGCTGGCACTGGGACTGGGACTGGCACTGGGGCTGGGACTGTGTGTGTTCTGTGTTCTGGGTTCTCCGAGCCGAGTTCCGTCTCGCGCTGCGACTGGCCACGGAATGCGGACAAACGTTGAGCGGTGCCAGGAGCAGAGTTGGCCAGTAGCTCCCCGCTCGTCTGTGCTGCGCCTGCGCCTGCTGGCGGCTCTCATTACCCCTGCGCACTCAGTCAAGCACAACCCAGTATCAGGCCTAGTACGAGTACCAGACCAGCACACCATGTGGACGCGCATACACGCGTGGACTGGACTGGTGATAGTGCTTGCTGGCGCTGGTTCTGCTTGGTCGCTCTTTGGCCGTAATCGAACATGTGCGTTGGCCGTTGGCCGTTAGCCAATTTCGGCGTGTTGACAGGGTGTTGGCCCTGTGCAGCCATTCAAGCGTCTAATCGCCGCTTTAGGCACCCTGTGAATGGTCCGGTCCCAACCCCCGTCGCACAAGTGTTGCTGGAGCTCGGGAGGGTCGGCCCATCTGCACGGAAAGGGACAATTAATTGCTTATCTGGGCTTTCCAATAAATACTCACAGTGTTAAGACCAAAGGCTTGTATATAGGGAGAATGGGGGTCAAGATGAGGATGCCTGAAAATAAAGTAAAAATCATACGTATTAATGGTTTACAGAGAGATCCATAAAATGGATTCGTCCATTTACACAGCTCGTTTTTCTAAAGGCCCGAATGAAGAGCCAGAAAGTCATGGGGAGGGAGAGCGAAATATATGTTCTGGTACTCAAGTATTAACAGAGTTTTGTACTATTTCTGGATTGGAAAATTGCATTATCAGTACTGCATATAGGACTTGACTTAGCTCTAGTTTCAGAAAGAAGTACATATATAATTGTAGTATACTATATAAGAAATATCCATAAAATACCCAAAAAATTGACAGGTTTCGTAGCCAATAATCCATATATTATAGCCAGAGGTGCAGCAGTAAAGCAAATCTCTATTATTGTTTATTGTTTGCACTGCCCACAGTACCACATTGCAATCTACACACATATGTACATACTTATGTACTTACAGCAGCCTATTCTCTCAGTCCCTTCTCTCGCTTCTTTCTTTTTTTCTTTCGCCTTCGCAATTCGGCCCGCCTGCCCTTGAATTAGTCTTGTGGAAGCACTCACTTTCTTGAATCTCCTCGTAAACCTAGCTAAAGTATAGATTTGGTCGGCACTGTGGAACCCAAGACTGTATTAATATATTTCCATGTTATCAAATATGAAAATCTTTCCGTTGTCCACACTGCGGAGCATCTAGCGGGACGTTATTCTGGACAGATAATATGGAAATGGATGGAAGCTGGTCTTATAGTTGGAGCAGCTCCTTATAGTTCGACTTATCGTATAGGGAGAGCTGTATATGTACCTTATATCTGTAACTGAATAAACGTTTTATGTACATGATGTATGTGCATAGGTGATGCATAATGTGACTCACTGGCGGCCTGTTATCAGCTTCGATGGAGCAAATCTGTAAATTGAGTTACTTATAAGCATAGATATACATACAAAATTCTTGGCAACAGTCGTGTTTATTTGTGCGCGTCGTGAGTGTGTGGATACTCTCGTCACTGTTCCAAGCGCTCGGGCCGCTCGGGCACTCTGCGAAATCGGAAATGCCACAAACAATCATTTCGCAACCTGTTTTTGAGTATGTTGAGCAAAAAATACCCGCACAAATGAGCGTGGAAAGAGCCAGATGGCTCGACGGGGCAGAGCGACGGGTACGGGAGTCCCCAAGCGGATCGAAACAGAGTTCAATCGTCTTGATAAATACACTTGATAAGGCCCGTGTTGGCAGTTCGCATCCGACGCTAGATCTCTCCGAGTGCCAGTCATGTTTCCCACTGCTCGCCTTTGCATGCTGATCGCGGCAGCTGCTCTGATTGTTGTGGTGGCTGGTGTATCCGGTAAAGCTCGCCATCGGGCTGAGGATTGTCCGCAGATCAAGCTGAAGCGGCAGTGGGGCGGAAAGCCGTCCCAGAACCTCCACTATCAGGTGCGTCCCATCCGCTTCGTGGTAATCCATCACACGGTCACCGGCGAGTGCAGCGGGTTGCTTCAGTGCGCTCAGATTCTTCAGGGCATGCAAGCCTATCACCAAACGGATCTTAACTACAACGACATCAGCTACAAGTAAGCATAATCAGCGATATCAGCTAACACGCCAATACAACGCTCCATTCCAATCCCAGCTTCCTAATTGGCAACGATGGCGTCGTCTACGAGGGCACCGGCTGGGGTCTGCGCGGCGCCCACACTTACGGCTACAACGCCAATGGCACGGGCATTGCCTTCATCGGCAACTACGGGGGTGAGCTAGCTATATTACATATACTCCGGCTGGTTATTGATCCCCTCCATTTGTCCATTTAACAGAAAAACTTCCCACGCCGGCTGCCCTGCGGGCGGCCAAACAGCTGTTGGCCTGCGGAGTAAGGCAGGGGGAGCTGAGCGAGGACTATGGACTGATTGCGGGCTCGCAGGTGATCAGCACACAGAGTCCCGGGCTGACGCTCTACAATGAGATTCAGGAGTGGCCACATTGGCTTTCCAATCCCTAAAATTCACTAATTCGCAAATGAGATATTTTGGCGCACTAATCGATAAGCGATTGCAGTTGGTCGAGCTGCCAACTCGGTCTATTCGCCACTTTCTTTAATAAAGTCTACTTAGTTTTTAACTTTTAAAAATTGCAAATACAAGCTAGTTACCTTTAAATCATTGGACTATTATGTAATTCAATAAAGCCATTTATTTTGCAACTACAATGTTCAGAATCGATTCCATATCGATTTCCAAGTCCATTGCAGAGCAGCCAGCTTAACGCAGTTCCTGCTTGCCGGCTCCGCCATCTTTGCAAAAATTAATTAGAAGAACCATAATAAATCGAAGCAATTCAGCGGCATCCCGAAAGCGATCGACCCAACAAAATGTCAGACACCGAGAAAAACAATTTGCTTAACTATGAGAATACTATCCAACCGCTTGTAGGAGCGAAGTGCTCTGATTATGCTGTGGCTCATGCCACTGTGAGTGTGACACCGTTTCGCACATTCGCAGAAGTTACACTTCTGCCGGAAATTTTGGCGAAGATGCGAGAACTCGGCTTGAACCGTCTGCTGCGGCTACAGAGCTATGCCTGGCCGCATCTTCTCAAGGGCTCGGGTCACGGTGTCCTCATTGTGAGTGCCCCACGCAGCGGCCGCACGATGGGATATGTGCCGCCCGTTTGCCACGTTGTCAACACGATCCTGGCCGCTAATCGGCGCGGGAGAGAAGTGGCGGTTGATTTACTGGATGTCTCGCACGGAATGGGACCCATTGCCTTGATTCTAGTGCCAGACTTAAACCGACTGGCGCAGGTGGCCGCCTTATGCAGTGCGCTAATGCCAAAGAAAGAGACCGTGGATGACGTGGGGATCATTGTGACGAGAGTGTTGACCGTTCCCATGGTGTGCACTCCCGATTTCATGGGTGCGTGGATCAACGAAATAGGCGTGTTGGTGGCCACCCCCGCCCGATTTGCCAACGCGTGCAAGCAAGGAGCGGGCCTGCTAAAGCTTAATCAGCTGCAGGTAGTGGTCTTCGATGACGTGGACCTAATGCAGAAAGAGGAACTGGAGTTGGCCAAGCAGTATATTCCGAGCATGGCCAATAGCATTACGTCAAAACGCAAAGGCACCAATCACTGTCCTCGTCCGCAGGTGGTGATGGTTTCCCAACGTTTCACTCCATCCCTGTTTGCCCAGGTGCACCGGTTCAATCAACACCCTTGCCTGATCTTTGCCGATCTTCTGGAAGCTGCTCTTTATGGCGGGATGCTTTTGTCTGTCAATATGGGCAAGAGGGAGGACAAGGTCGGTGCGGTCGTGAAACTGCTTCGTAAGCGTCCGCCGGAGGAATATCGCACCATCATCTTCTGCGATGGGGATCTGGAAATGGCACTGCTGGTCGGAGCCTTAAAGGATTTCGAGTACGACTGTCTGGCCTACTACCAGAACGCAGATCTGGCGCTACTCGATAAGGTAAGCTACTGGATGTGCGCCAGTGGAGGCCTGGTTCTTGTCTGCACCGACAACTGTCCCGAGCTGAGAATACGCAATGCGCACACCATAATCCACTACAGCATGAGTTCCTCATGGAGCAAGTTCAAGAATCGCTTCATGTTCCTGTCCGACAATGTGCCCAATGTGCTGACACGTGCCAAGGCACACTCCCTCTCCCCGTCCCCAACGGCAAAAGCAACCGCAACCGATGAGAGTATCCTGTATTCCCTTGTCCTTTTGGATGAGGGGAACGCCAGGCAGCTGACCCGTTTGGTCGACTTAGTGCAGGCTCGCCAGAAGCTGGAGCCCAATATTGTGGCGATGGCTGATCGCATCCGCCAGGAGTTAAACACAATAAAAGACATTGTAAAGCCGATTTGCAGAGAGATCTTGGGTCACGGCGACTGTTGGGACACCAAGTGCGGGCAACGTCATTATCTGCACGGATCAGATCGCCGTCCATCCTACGTACCCTGCTCGGGAGACATCAAGGTACAAGTGCTCCGCGTCTACTCCCCCGGACACTACTGTGTGATCGCCTACGAGCACAAACCCCTGGGGGGTAAATGGCACACTTTAGATCCCAACAGGAATTTGACGGCCCTGATGAATTTGAGGCTCACCGGGAAGGACGACGAGCCACTACCACGCTATTGGCCACCGCTGCCCCAAGCCGTGTGTCTGTGGAAGAAGACTAGGTGGCAGTCTGGCTCTTTCTACGAGCGTGTCCGGGTGCTCAGTGTGCCACCCATTGAGAATGTAAATCTGGTCGATTCGAACCTCATGGTGGTGGTCCAGGCTATGGACTCTAGCACTCGCTGCTTCGAGACCAAGTGCATGTCTCTCCATGTCTGCCCCGATGAGTACGCCAGCAAGCCGCCATTGTGCATGGACCTGCGTCTGCTGGGAATGGTCAACCACATGGGTGATCGCTATTGGGCTGACGCAGATGCGAACACGGTTCAAGACTGGCTGGACAAGGCGCCCAAGGACCACTTCGTCCAGGCCAAAGTCGAGTTCTCCACTTCGCACACGATCTTCGCTACATGTATGGTGTCCATGGTCTACCTCAAGACACTGAAGACTTTTAACCTTCACTTGAATCTGCCCATGGCACAGATCAAGGCCAAGATGAGCAAGCGCTGTGCCCGGACCAAAGAGATGATTTTGAAATTCTTCGAGCAACACATCAAGCTGGACGAGCCGCCGATCCCACAAGATCCACCAGAACTGGAAAAGGAACCGAACTCATGCGAAGGAGTCCGTGTGGTGGCAAATGTGCGCAAAGAGCACATCGGCGAGGATATGGACAAGAGCCCACCCTCAAAGCAGAACACTTCTAAGCTGCCGGCCATGGACCCAGTGGACCATGGGCTTAATACGGGCCTGGAGAACCGTCTACTCCAGGAAGAAACAGATTCCGAGGATGAAGCCGATTCCAAGCAGAGCCCTGTCATGTCTGTTGGCCAGGACCAGCCAGGAGAATCGGAAGCTTCGGATCTTAAGGTGGTCCCAATCTCCTATTTCTATGACTGCTTTATGAGATGCGCGGCGCTGGACGGCTACATGGAAATGGAAGCAGACACGGCCGGAAGCAAGGCGGCTCCGAACGATGTCTATCAGATGTTGACTGAAGGCCCAGTACAGCGCTCCAATGAGCCCAGTAAAGAGAAGTCGAAACAAGAAAAAAGCCAACAAATCAAGGGCGAGAAACTTTCCGCCAATACTGGAGTTTCAGCATACAATGCTGCTCGTGTTCTGCAGCCCGCATCGCGTCCCGATGTCAAATACTACCAGACCCTCAGCGCTCTCCATCTGCAGGTGACCCTGGCAGATGAAAAAATGTGCTACCAGACACGAGTGGTAGACACCACTGGGGTTTTTTTCCAGGCCACCCCTACAGGCGGGTCAGGAGCAGCATTAGGATCCTCCACTGGCACCTCTTATCGAGCCTGCGAGTTCTTTGTAAACACATGCATGGCCTTCAAAGGCATACAACATTCCATGAAGGGGCGTACTGTATACATTGAGCTCCGAAAGATCAATCCAGGCTACTACCCCATTACATTCGGCCACTTAAAGTTCTTCCAACAGAACTTCGACAAGATAGAGATCGAGGAGAAGTGGCGTCAGCGAAAAAAAAACGAACTCCAACAGTTGATGCGGGAGCATGGATGGGGGGCTCAAAAATACACATCAAAAGCGGAAAGCAGCGACGAAAGCGTGTCCGAGTCAGAATCGGAGGATGGGGTAGAGCGACCCGATGACTACAGGAAGATCGACATGAATTAAAGTTTAAGGTTTGTGCATACTCGTATTTGGTAAATAGCTTGAAACCTTTTCATAATATTTGCATCATGCTTTCTCTAGAATTTCAGAATCGTGCCCTTGGATCGCGAGAGCGAGCGTAGAGCGAGCGGGACTCAAGGAAGAGAACGAGCCACGCAACAAGGGAAGCGATAGCTTCTATGGAAGAAACTAAAATTTTATTAATTTGATGCTAATTTGAAAACTGTACTCTATTTTACCACTTGACAAATGCATGCATGCACATACGAATATACATATATATTCCATAATTAACATATTGATAACAATATGTATTTGACCTTCAAATAAATCCCTTGATTGAACAAATCTTTACTGAACTGCTGTGCCTATTCCAAATCTATCATTGGATCGACAAAGATATAAACTCTCGAATAGATAGCTAAGGCCTTAATCTCGCTAGAGTTAAACTGACTCGCAGACAAAACAAAACTCAGGGTTAAATGAAATCCCTTAAGCCTCTGAGTGGCTAATGATCCAATGATCGGGTACCTCTGAGCTGGCGTTGCTGTATGTTCTCGTTGTAGCAGAATGACCAAGCATTTGTCTTATAGTTAAAAACGCCCTTAACCCCTTGTGGGGTCTTCCACGAAATCCTACTGACCGCTGCAAAAGATCATTATACATATGGTGGAAGTGGAACAACGCCTTGAAATAATAATTATATTATACATTATTTATAATTTTAAATCAGTATCGAACTTCCCTGGAGCTCTAAGGGTAGGGGGATATCTATATACGTTTTGTGGGATATTTACGTTATCCCATATAGAATATATGTATATATTCTTGATCAGCATCAGCCGAATCGATATAGCCATGGCTGTCCGTCCGTTCCGATGAGAGCCCAGATCTCAGCAACTATACGAGGTAGAGCAAAAAATAAATTTTTGTATCCAGACTGTTATCCACGAACATCCGTGGCATCCACAAATTTGAAGATACGAGAAAATCATAAAATCTGAATCATATATAATGACCATATCTACCAGAATGCCGAATTTTGTTTAGATCATTATAATAGCAGGGAGGAGCTACTGAGATTGGTTGTGGCTACACAACCTCCTTCCACGCGCTTAATCATTCTCTCTCTCTCTCTCTCTCTATCACAGACTCCGCATCGTGCAGTGTGCGACATATGAAAGAGGGGACGCGAGATAGCAGTACACGTACTGACTGAGTATTGGGTACAAATGCAGAGCAGCGGCTCTTGCTACGGCTCTGTGTAGATCCAGGCACTTGTGCTGATGGGCGCATGTACTCTATATACTCCGCTGTCCGCTCCAGTCTTAGCCTGAGCGACATACACATGTATTCTATAATGGTACACAAATTTCGCTTCGATTCGACACTTGGGGAACACTTAGCACTGTACTGGACACCGTACCTAAACATTGTTCAATGTCTTTCCACTAACAGCTCTAATCGCTCCTCTAAGCTGCTCTCGCGCTTTAGCTCCCATTCGGCTCATGTGCCCTCGCAATCTTCGTCTTCGACTGACATCGCTTTCGGCCGCTATACTGCGCATAATACTTAACAATAAACCGTACATACATACATGTATTTACCAATAATAGAACGGAACAACTCGCCCATTTTCGAAAAGACACAAACACTTGGCTTGATTCACCACTGGGAGGACTTTCAGTCAGCCCTTGAACCGGTTTCTTAATTAAAAAAAAAAGGTTCTCTATGTTTTTATTGTATATTTAATACGTTTCTGTCATAATTTACAATTTTGTTAAGTTAAGCAATTGATCGTCATAGATCTACACGTAATCGTATATATGTTTGGATGCCGTATGTACTTGTACAAATACATAGTTGACGCTTGTCTGCTGCACTCTTCAAATGAGAATGTATTTTGTATGTTATGTTTACGAAACGTTTTGTGTCACGCGTGTGCGTTGATGTTAACAATCTGATGATGGTACGCAATCGGAGTGGTGTTAAAAAAATAAGGATACATACATAATAATTCGGTTAACATGACCCGTCCCGTTTTTGGATCGGGTCTTTATAGAGTTGCTGTTGCTGTTGCGGCTTGTTGTTGTAGTTTCAGCTAAGACGCGACTTATCTTATTACTAGACATAAAAAGAGCCACGAAATATTGTAATGTAATTTCTTTAAGTGTGCTTCTTGGGGACTCTCGTTTCCGTGTCGGCTGGTGGTTGGGCGTCACAGCTCTGATCTGAACGATTAAAGTTGTTTTTAAGCTAAAGCTCCGTGTCCGCCTCTGGTCCTCCTTCAGGGTTCCCCGCGGCTCAGTCGTCGCTCTCCTCGAACGTGGGACTGCTGGGCGAGTACGCTGGACTCGTGGGACTATAGTGCGATGGCGCCGTCGGCGAGTACATGGGCGATGTGGGTGAATAGTTGCGTGCCGTGGGCGTGTACGTGGGCGATGTCGGCGAGTATTTGGTGCTGCTCGGCGAGTAGATGGACATATTGGGCGAGTACCGTGGACTGGTGGCCGAATAGGTTGATCCAGTGGGACTGTACTGGTTCGACGGCGAGTGCTGCGGGGAACTGGGCGAGTACAGGGGCGATGTGGGCGAGTACTTGGGGGAGGCCGGTGAATATTGCGGCGAGCCGGGCGTGTATTGTGGCGATCCTGGAGAGCCATCGTACGAGGGCGAAGGCGGCGAATAGGTCGGAGACGTCGGCGAGTACTTGGCCCCTGTCTGGGAGTAGGCCGGCGATGCCGGCGAGTAGTGGGGCGAGGCCGAGTAGTTTGGCGATGTGGGCGAATACGAGGGCGTCGCTGGCGTATAGTTGGGTGAAGTGGGCGAATACGAAGGCGATGTTGGTGAATAGCAAGGTGACGTGGGCGAGTACGAGGGACTCGATGGGGAGTACGAGGGTGATGTCGGAGAGTATGAGGGGGAATTCGGCGAATAGTTGGTGGAACTGGGCGAGTAGGCATTGCCCGGTGAGTACATGTTGCTGCCGCTGCCCGCAAACGACGGACTCGACGGGAAGTTGGATGTGGGCGAGTATACCGGCGATGTCGGCGAGTATCCCGACGCCGATGGCGAGTAGCCCGTCGACTGCGGATTAAAGTTGGGTGTGGTGGAGGCATACCGTGGACTGGCCGCTGCATATAGCGGCGATGTCGGCGAATAGTTGGGACTGGAGGGCGAGTAGTTAGGCGATGCCCCACCGGGCGACGAGGCCGTGTAGTTGGGACTTGTCGGCGAGTACGATGGCGACACGCTGGGCGAAGCCGGATAGTACGGGGACATCGAGGGTGCCGGAGAGCTGGGCGAGGAGCCCGGATGTGCTGGCGACCAGCTCGGAGACATACCAGACGCGTCCGAGGCGGCCGACGGCGAAAAACTAGGTCCTCCCGGTGTCATGGCGCTCACTGCAAAAAAAAAAAAAGAAGGAATATCGAATTGAAGCGAGAAAGATACACAGATGATAGACAGAGACGGCCATAGCCATAGCCGACGTGATCGTGACTTACCATGACCTGGTGGCGAGAAGTAGCGTGGCGTATTGCAGTTCACCCACGGTGTCATCGGAGGCGTCATGCTCGGCGTAGAGCCACCGCCAATGAACATGGCCGTGCCGCCCAGCATGCTGCTTCCCAGGGTGTTGGGTATCTCGATGCCGAAGCGACACTTCTCGGCGTCCAGCAGCAGATCGAAGCAGCCAGTGCCCATCTTGGGCAGTTGGCCCATGATTATGTTCTCGGATACGCCACGCATGGGATCCGTTTCTGCGTGGGCAGCCGCATCCATGAGCACGTCCACAGTCTCCTCGAAGGAGCAGCGCATGAGGGCGCCGGTGTCCTGTCTGTTGATGCCGTGACGGGTGATGGCCATCAGATGGCCCTTGGCGGTCATCACGTCGCACAGCAGAGCCAAATGGCGGTAGTTCACATACAGGCCGTAGAACTGCAGCACCGCGTTCATCTCCTTCTCGACGGACTTTCGCACCGCCTCGATGCCCAGCACCTGGAAGATCTCGCAAATGTCATTGGAGGAGGTGCGAATGGGGTCGACGTCCCGCTCGGAGAGGACCTTCATCATGGATGTGCCGTCCGTCTCGAGCAACCACTCGCCGATGGCCTTAAACTCGCCCGTTTCGGTGATGACGATCCGTTTCTTGCTGTCCGTTTGCGGCAGATGCATATAGACCTTGCCAATGGCCTCGATGCCCTGCAGCGTCATATCCGACAGCATATTGGCCTCGATGCAGCGCAGGAACATGTCATCTTCCATCTTGTCGACGGCCTCGTCCTCGTCTTGGAACTTGTTCTCTTCGTTGTTCATGATCCGGATGCGCAGGACCAGCTTGTCCGCATTGTCATCGTTGAAGATGCAGTTGAGATCCTCGCCAAAGCCCACATTGATCTTCTCGGCGATCTGCTCCATGGTCAGCTTCTTGTCCGTCATTCGTTTGCGGTCGAGCTCGATGCGCAGCAGCCAGGGCGAGATTCGTGTCGGATCGAAATCGGGCATTTCGTAGTAGACATTCACAAACTCCTGATCCTCCGATATCACCGTACGCTGTGGATCCGGATCGTAGTAGATGGCCGTATTGGCCGTCACCTTGCGCAGCGTTGTGTGCTCCAAGCGGCAGAGCACGTTCTTGGCCTTCTCGGCATCACGGGCGGCTCCGCCCGTCAGGAAGACCGTCAGTGACGGGGCCTTCGGTTTCTTTGAGATGTTGATAATCTCCTTGAGTCGAGGCACGCCCAGTGTCACGTTCTTCGAGGACACACCAGCGAAATGGAACGTGTTGAGTGTCATCTGGGTGGCCGGTTCGCCCAAACTCTGGGCGGCTAAGGCGCCAACCATCTCGCCAGGATTCGCCTGGGCCTGCTGGAACCGCGTCTCGATCTCACCGATCAGCCACTCAAAGGCCTCTGTGGACAGGCGAAACTCCTCGGACACGTATTTGGTGCACAGCGTGGACCGGATTAGGCACTGGAACAGCAACGTGGCATTCTCGTTGGCCTGCTTTGAAATCCGGTCGGCGCCAGTCACGATTACACACCGCTCCAGCAGGGTCTTCACGCCCTTGATCACCCGCATGGGCGAGAGGTCTGTGGGCAGGCGCTTGTTAATGTGGAATATCTTCTGTACATTCCAGATCATGCGCTGCAGATTGCAGGGCAGTACCACCTTCGAATCGCCGTTGGGGAAGATCTGTCGCAAATGGTCGCGATCCTGCATCAGGTGGTCCCACTCCGATTCGAGATCCTGTATGGCCTCGCTGCTGTCGGTCATCTCCTTGATCACCTCGTCCGTGAAGACCTTGCGCATGTATCGCTCGTTCGACCAGTCGAACTTGAAGCGCT